AGCCCCCGCCAGAACGAAAAACCAACAACCTTTTTATGGAGTTTAACGCTTCCCCGGCGTTTGCGCGCACGAGGAGGCTGGTGTGGCAGCTCGGCACCTCTCGGCTCGGCTCTCCCCAAACCGCAGCGGCTGCTCCCCCGGGCGCCGGCTCCTCGTGCCGCACCGGCGCCTCACCCCGGGGCAGGAGGAGCAAGCCCAGGTCTTGACTCTTCCTTTTAGTCCCTGGAAGGTGTGAAGAGGATTTAATTAGTCACAACAGCGCAGCCGATTTCCTGCTTGTTTAACTGCGCTCTTTAAAGTTCCGGGTTTTGGGAGCGGTGAAGGTTTTCGGATGCCTAGGACGGGAGCAGGGGCTTTTCCTGCGCGCCCTGTCCTTCCGTGGAAGTTGCTGAGTGAATTTTATCCCTTTCCCAGCTTCGCAGGGCGACGCTGCCTCGGCACCCGAGAGGCTCGGGAGGGGTTGAGTTGCGGTTTTCCCCCTTTCTCTCCAGGGGTTCAGGTGGGAACTTGGGGTGTGTCGCGGGGAGGTACAGCTGGGGCTGAGGCAGCACTCGTGGGCGTCAGGCCGGACAGAAGTCGGCGTGTGAAGGGCCACCGGCTGCGTTGCGGCCCTGCTCTCACTGCCGCTCTTGCTCTGCCCGCAGGTTCTCGCCTACTTCACGTTCTGCCTGTGGTTAATCCCTTTTGCTTTTTTCGTCTCTTTGTCGGCCGGAGAGAACGTCCTGCCTTCCACGGTGCAGCCCGGAGGTGAGCGCTCCCAGGGCCCGGGCAGACACCCGCTGGTTTTTGACGGGGGCTGTGCTCAACACAACCCCGTTCCCGTTGCACGGAGGAGGGAAAGGGGGGCAGCTGGTCGGGTAAACCCTCCCGAAAGCCGAGGCGGGAAAGGGGGGGCCTCCGCAGGGTGAGGGTGAGCAGAGTGGAGGGCGGTTCCAGCTTTGCGTCCTGCATCGCTCCCGTCCTGGGGCCCTGTCGCTTTCCCTGGACTCTCCCTACGGCTCAAGAAAGGGAGCTCAGGGTGGGGGCTCCCTGGCAGTGGCTTACTGGAACCCCCAGCTAGGCCAGACGTGAGCAAACCAGAAACTTCCGTGCTTTAAAGGCAGCTCATGCGTCGCCCCGAAATCAGACGACCCACCCCAGGGCTCCCGTGGCCGTCGAGAGGGTTTGTGTCTGATTGTTCTTCCCTTCTCTCCGCAGACGACGTGGTCTCCAACTACTTCACCAAGGGGAAGAGGGGCAAGCGCTCCGGTATCCTCCTCATCTTCTCTTTCATCAAGGA